TATCAATCCAACAACATATGATAGCTGGTTGATGCTGATACGTAAACCTCCAATGTGACGGGGTCACACAGCACCTTGCGCTAGAGGAAGTTATCTTCTCCGCGAAAGATCCTACATAGGGATCGTCGGATTGAGATCCAAGCAATAGAGGATGGATCCAAGACCGGGGAGGATCCCCAGAGCCGGTCTCTAGATGACTCAGGGTCGGTGGATGGAGGATCGCAGAGAGCTGAAGCCGGGTCGCCGGATCCTGCTGACTCACAAGTGGATCCCGAGTTTTCCATGGGACAAAGTACCTGGATCCTTGTCGAGAGTAGCAACACTAGCCAAACAGGAACCGGCGTGTGTACACTCACCAGAGGATCGAGTCGATCCAACCGGTAGCTTCCCCGGTACCAGGGTACCCGATCTCACGAAAACTGAAGGAATGACGGGTGAAGGAGAGTCGCGGTGCTTGGATCCAGTGGTGGATCCGACGAAAACGGAAGATGAACAAGTCGTTTACCATGAAGGTGCGGATCTACAAGCCGAGGATCTCGGAGAAGGCATGGCGGTGATCCCGGAAGTACCACTGACCACAGAGGAGGTCGCGATTGACGGCATCCAAGTGGATCCAGGAGCGAACGAACCCGCGAAAGTGGATCGGTTACGTATGTCAAATGTGACATCGATGTCGGTGACGCGAGGCCGATCGCTCAAAGGGTGCGGAAGGTGGCGCCTCAGTTCCGAGAAAAACTATCAGATCTGATTAAGGGCCTGCTGCAAGCCAAGATCATCAGTTTCTCAACGTCCCCGTGGGCATCTCCGGTGGTAATCATCATCAAGAAGAACGGGGTGGATATACGTCTGAGCATTGATTACCGGCTAGCTAACGGCCTGACCCGATTGATGGTATATCCAATGCCTCTAATCAATGCGTTGCTGGAAGATTTAAATAAAGTACTCTGGTACTGTTCTCTTGACATGGCAGTGGTTTCTGGGTGGTGACTATGACGGATCGAGCTCGCGCAATATCCGCATTCATCACACCGTTTGGACTGTTCGAATGGAACCGAATGCCGTTTGGATTGAAGAATGCGCCCCAGATCTACCAACGCCTGATCGATAACGCCCTCTACGGATTCACCCGAATACCGGAGCCCGAAGGGGGTGGATCCGGGGAAGAACATACGGAAGTGGATCCATTCGAAGCAGGAGAGCCAGGGGATCCTGGGACCCCATCTGTGTTAGGACGCAGATCTTATATTGACGACATTCTAATCCCGGTAGAATCATGGGATCAGCTGTGCGAGAGAGTGACATCCCTACTGGAGGCGCGTACTAAGTGGAATCTCTCTATCAGCGTGGTGAAGAGCTATTGGGGATGCGCAAGGTGGATTACTTAGGTCATCGAGTCTCCAAGGAGGGACTGGAGGCGAATCCTAAGAACCTGTCCTCGTTGGCAGACTTGCCCTTCCCACAGTCGTTACGGGCGATGCAATTCTTCTTGGGCCGTTTGAACTACTACGGTCGGCTCATCGAGGATTACGCACTGTTTGCTGCGGTACTCTATGAATTGAGAGAGGTGGATTTTGCTGCGATGAACACTTCAGCTGTCCGGATCATAATCCAACAAGCTGTGTCCCTGGAGATATCGGATCCACGAAGGGATCCAAGTAGCACGACGCCGGAAGAGGACTTAAAACAGGAGCTGACGCGATTTACGCGCTCCGTCTGGCCGTCCGTTTCCGGATGAGCTGCTGTGGACATCATCAGCTTCGAGCCCAGTAGCTCGAAGAGCTTTGACCAGAAGGCCGACGTGAAGCGCGGGTCGCGGTCGGAGACGATAGATTCGGGAAGGCCATGATGACGGAAGACAGCATCGAGGAAGTGCACCGCGGTATCTGCCGCGGTGATCGCATCCGACACCGGAATCAGGTGAACCATCTTGCTGAAGCGGTCTACGAATACCAAGACACCTGATCGTCCTTTAGCATCGGGTGGGAGCCCGAAGATGAAGTCCATCGACACCGAGCGCCAGGCCTCGGTGGCCACTGGTAGAGGACGCAAGGGAGCCTGCGAAGACGAGGCAGGTTTCATGCGCTGGCAGGTCTTGCAGGTGCGCACCCACTTACGCACCCATTTGTACAGGTGTGGCCAATAAAAGTCGCGTGACACAGCGGCAAATGTCTTCTCGCGACCGAGATGAGCGCCCAGCGGGGCATCATGAAACTCATGGATAATCCGTGAGCGCAGATCGGGGTCGTTAGGGACAACGACATGTGGGCATCGAAGTTGTCGATGCTGTACGCCAGCAGCTCGTCCTCGAGACGATATCGGTGGATTTTGTTTCGTACAGAGCGGGAAAGGGCTTCCAGTGTGTCGGCGCTGGGAGAGCGGAGATGCTTCAGGATACTGGAGCACGTCGAGTCATGTTCGTAAGCAGCTCGGATCTCGTCGCGAAGTGGCATTACCGGGGAGACGCTCGTCAGGTTGACGCCTGACGCCTCGCACGTGGCACACTCGTCTACATCGTCTTCATCCAGCGAAGCTTGTCGACCCAATGCACCGCGTGGGTCGTAGTCGGGACGCCGAGACAAAGCGTCGGCGAGAATGTTGTTCTTGCCGGGTTTGTAGTGGACAACGAAGTTGTACTCGGAGAAGAACGAAAGCCAGCGGGCCATCCGCTGGGAGAGATGAGGACTCTTCATCGCTGTCCTCAGCGATGCATGATCGGTGTACACCGCGAAGGTATCCTCACACTCTGAACTTGATCAGAGCGTAGCGCATCGGCAAGGAGCCTCTTTGTCGTGAACAGGGGAAGTTGCGCTCCCGCCCGGCTTCCATCTGCCCTAGGACTGGGAAGCTTTACGACACGGCTCTCGATCCTTCTTTCATCGAAATGTGCATCAAGCGCACAGCCCAATGGCGAAAATCGCTTCGCGTTCGCAAAAAAACGGGAAAAGGGCTTTC